AAAATTCTCTGGCCAGCAGGCCGAGCCCTGTGCTAGTCTTCTATAAAAAGTAACATGATTAAGTTCATAATCATTTACTTTTAGTGATGGAAATTAGACTAACTCCAGCACAAAATCAAATTTGGCTCCCAAAGTAGCTAAATATGGCTTTTTAGCTCCCCAAATAGCTAAATATGGCTTTATAGTTTCCCAACCCCCATTTTCACTCCAACACTATAAAAAGCTAAATTTAGCTTTCCACCTCCCTTTTTCAATTTATTTCAATAAACCGTACTTATTTGACCTCTAATTTTTATATTTCACTTTAATTTTTTCATAGTTCGTTATTATTTTTTTAAACTAAATTTTTTATGTAATTTTTTCATAGAGCTATGTACATACTGATTAATTTGGTATACACACTGACAAAATAATTTACAATCTCAAAGATTGAAGACATCCTAGTTAAACTCCTCCTCACAGCATTTTTTATTTTTTCATAGTTCGTTATTATTTTTTAAAACTAAATTTTTTATGTAATTTTTTCATAGAGCTATGTACATACTGATTAATTTGGTATACACACTGACAAAATAATTTACAATCTCAAAGATTGAAGACATCCTAGTTAAACTCCTCCTCACAGCATTTCTTAATGAACTATGGGGTCGTTTGGTTTTGGTGATAGTTAAATTGATCAATCGTCATCAATGCATGCATAATAATATACATGTATATACGAAGATTGGTGTATTGTAATTTACATTGTTTGGTTTCTGTGATAGTTATTGTAGTATTCAAATAAGTTATATTACTTTTTGGGTGAAATGTCCCTTTTATCGTTCATTTTTAATAGAAAAAAACAACACACATTAAAATCTAGGGATATAGTTGGAAGAAATAAGAACCCAACAATCTCAATGAAACAATCTCAACAATCTCACAAAAAATTTAAGATTTAACTATCACTCATTTTGAGTGATAGTTTGTGTCAAATCAAGCAAACAATGCATGTATTGTTTGTGTAAAAAATACAGAAAAACAATACATTATGAACAATGCATGCATTATAATAATTCCCGTTCAAAATCAATGCCGTTTTGGGTCAAATCTATCACGACAGAAACGCAGGCGCGGAAAAGGAAACTGAAAGACGGTTCTCTTCTTCCACCGTCACAGGCGATCGCCAGAAAACCGTCCACCCAAAATTATCCAAACTTTCAAAGGGCCAAATCACATTGCAGTTGTGAGAGTTCCGAAGCGGCTGTTACCAACATCATCGCAGGCAACATGTTCCAGCACCGCCAACAGATCGGGATTTCCTCGTCGGCCGTCGTCGGCCTTTCTCCTGTCTGCCACCGCCGCTATCGAGTGACTGCCTTCTGTCAAACATCATCGTAACCGCAACAACAAAGTCAGCGTCGTGACGGTCAGACATATACTACATAATGGGAAGATATGCCCAGAAAACAAGAATTCACAATGCTGATCTCAAGAAGAAGGCGTCGTCCATCCTCTCTGGTCTCCATAATCGCCGAAGTCGATCTCTACAATTTCGACCCCTGGGAACTACCCGCTTCATTACAGTTTCGGAGGCGCACCAATACTGCTGGCCGAACTCCGACGGTTACAATTCAAGAAGCAGATACAAATATGACAGTTACACTTTTGGGGGAGGTTCTTCCGCTAATCTCGTGTCAGATAAGAAGTTCACGCACTAACGATGATTCTCGATAGAAGGGTCGAGTTCGACGGATTCCGATTTTCACTCTTTTCCGCAATTGTGCGCTCCAGCAATTTGCTGCCCAACGCCCTTGTGCATAGCTGCTCGTGGTGTTTCCCCATCTCTGACACCCTTTCCGGTGAGTTTTACCTATCTTTTTGCAGGAGTTGCGGGCTGGGATCTTCGGTGAGTCTTTCCAGCGGGTGACGAGTCTTGCCGACGATCGGCCAGGCTAGTGGCTGCAGTTACATCTTTGTGCAGTTACCTCTCCCGTGGCTTCCTTCTTGTTCAAAACGCTCCGCCTTCGGACGGTTATAATTTCATGACCATTAAAATTCTAATGGATAGGCAGTCACAATTCCAAACACGGATCCTATCTTGCATTCAGATAAGTCTATTAATTCTTTCTTCAATTCATATTTAATTATTATTATGTTTACGATTGTGTTTGGTATTTTTATGGGAGTTGCAATTGTTTTGTAATTCGATGTCTTTTAATGATAGGGAGGATTTGGTTGTCGTCGGACATGGAGTATATTTCTTCTACTAGTTGGCTTTGCCATTTTTGTTTTTGTGCTGCAGAAGGCATAGTTTGTATAGCTTGTGAGGCATTTTCGGTGGAGGTCCAGTTGTATTTTAATTTTGTTTGTCCCGTTAGGGGTTGTCTGCGTGTTATTTTGTAGGTACCTTGCACATCCAATCTACTGCTGGGCTGTTGGAACTCGAAGAATTGGTGCTTGAAGGAGTTTGCTGAAAGAAGACTTTCTTTGCGTTTTTTGGTTTATTTATGTTACTAGGCATACTAACAGGGCTGCCCATCGCGTGGCACAAACGGCCCTTGCATCGGTAGCAACCCAGTTGGTTGACTACCGCCTTTATAGTTCCAATGCATTGTAACACTCTATCTATTACAAACTATCTATGACAAAAAAAAAATGCATGCATTATAAGTTTGTAACTATACCAACCAAACTATCAACAAAACCAAAACACCCTATAACACTTCTCCTCTAAGAACAAAACCCTGGTGGGATTTTTTCCCAAACTACAATCCTTTTAAAAAAAATTACAAAAGTACCACCCAATCCAACAAAAAAAATTACAAAACTACCACCATTAATCATAAACCGCGCCTCGATGGCGCGGTTCTCATTCAAACCACGCGGGCAAGAGACGGTTTACCATTGGGAAGCTGCAAAACCGAACCTCCACGTGGCGGTCCATGCAACCGTGTGATGGGTAGGCGATCCGACGGCTAACCGCCTGCCAGCGGAGAGATCCGCGTCGCCCACTGATAACAGTTGCCCGAGGGAGTGGTTTGCGTGTCGGGAAAAGGAAACCGTGTGCTGGAGGTGCAGTTTTTGGTGGGTAAAAATACCAAACCGTCCCTCCACCTATAAATACTCACCACCTTCCTCTCATTTTCTTCACTTCAAAATAAATCTCCTCTCTCTCTAAGTTTATCACTCTGCCCATCCCCCTCTCCACCCAAAAACCTTGTGAGTAGTGGTTTGTTGGTTGTTGACACCTAAAATTAATTCGACCAGAATTAAATGCCGCATTAATTAGTCTCGGCATTTAAGTCGATACCGCGCGTAAAAAACGGTATCGTTGGGAGTCGAGCGGCGTCGCAGAGAACTAAAACGGTACCGCAAGGAAGCTCAGCGGTGCCGCGGTACTGCAAACGACACCGCTTACCGAAAAACAAGAGGGCCGCGCGTGGGTATTGGAGAAGGAGTTTTCTCTAATTAATTATTATTTTTATTCCTTGTTGGATTGGAAGAAGCGGCACCGAGGGGAGTTAAAACGGTGCCGCGGAGAGCTAAAACGATGCTGCGGAATTAAAAACAGTACCGCGAGGAAGCCCAACGGTACCGCTGTATTAGCAAACGACAGTGTTTAATATAAAACAATGTCGTGGAGTAAAAAGCAAACAGAGCTGTTTGGGAAAGAAAACGACATCGCGTGAGATTCACACCAACCCGAGCGAGGAAGAGATTAAGACGGTTGAGACACGTGGGAGTTCACAACAGAGCGGTTGAGGAAGCAGTTCCACAGGGCGTGAAGACTACGCAAGTGATTTCAAATAAAAGCAGCGGAGCAAGGAGAGAGAAGGAACAACCTAATCAACACAGAAACACCTCTGTCAAAACTTTACCTTTTCTCTGTAACTCCTTCGCGGAGCTCTCCTTCCAGGAAGGATCTCCATAGTTGTAGTCGTAGTCGTAGTCGTGGAGCTCTCCACAGGAATCTCCATAGGAGTAGCGGTAGCGTAGATTCCTCAAAACTCAAACACCCTCGTTCGAACGTAGTTTGGAGAGGTGCGAACCGTAGTAACGGTCGCGTTGGTTAGAAGTCAGAGGTGCATCGATCAAATCAACACCGCCCGGCGGTGGATATTTGACGGTCACGTTGATTTCACCATTTAGAGGTGCATCGATCAAATCAACGGCGCCGACATTCGGCGGCGGATATTTGACGGTCGTCTCGATTTCAGCAATCAGCGGTGCTTCCGATCAAACGGCACCGCAAGAGTTTCCACCGCGAAACATCAAATCAACATCGCCGGAAACGAATTCAGCACCGGCGGTGGCATTTGGTTTTCCCGGGGAAACAATTTGGCACACCCAGTGGGACGCGTGTGTTTGAAATGGCTCTGCGGCGAGAAAAACAAGATTGCGATCTTCCACAACAATTTCTGGACGAGCAAAGGACCAATATTGAAGTTGGTCGGGCGGATGAGGCGGATAGACATATCGGTCGGATGAAGGAGTGGCCTCAATCCATTTCGAGCACTGACGGGCATGTTGCACTCTTGTCTCTTCGTCGAGCCGTGGAGGAGTATTACCAGCAGGTAAATCTCTATTTTATCTCTTTAAATAAGCCGTGTGATTCTCTTGGAAGACATATGGATAAATTTTTTGAGATGGTAGATGAACATGTTTTCGGTATTGCCGATAAAGATTCACTTAAACTTGTGGCTAAAACAGTGGCGTTAGGGGCCAACAAATCTCATGTTGGTTCTCCTGTGAACACTATTGTTTTGAAGGACAGGAAAGTTAGAGCAGTCTTACGAAAGCCACAACTAAGAACAAAATTTAAACGTGTTCATAATAAGTTTCAGAAAATTAAGAAAAACAAGTGTGATGTCTTGAAAGATGACAAATTTTACCACATTCTTCAATCTGAGCCGCTAGGGGGGCATACACTCCCAGCTCGTGGAAGATTGATGGAGAAACAACATCGTGGGTGGCAAAGAAGTTTGCCACACCCTCCCTGCTCGAGGGAAAATCTAACAATGGTTTCCTCAAATACTCTTCGGTGTGGGGATGTTAACCACGTGGAAAAATCTAATGCCAATAAAGTTGGCATGACTCTACAGGATCGTTCACGTAAATCATCCCCGAATTTTTTATTGAGTGGACAGGGGGGCAAGTTCGGTCAAGCACGACCGGGATTTGCAACACCAGTGCTTATGAGGAACAAGTCTGCTACGAGTGGTGGCCAGGGGGGCAAGGCCAATGCCAAACGAATTCCAAACTCACGTGGAATTTTAAAAGGGACAACGTTGTTGTGTGATAGGTGCAAAAGTCATGTTTGTGCTAAGCAAAGTACCAACGTACCTGTTGATGAGTCTCACCGCTCATACTACCAACCACATGGTGAGAGTGCGAAGCTGACAAAACTAGACCAGTCTAGTCAAGCAATGTCGCATGATCGAATTGGCAAGACAAAGGTGCCGAAAAACGGGATTGTCCTGTCTAGAGACAAGAATGCTTATGGTTTTCCAGTCCGCGAAGCTAAGATTAGGCCAAATCAGGATCGTGGAGTTTCAAACAAAGATGTTCGAGCTAGACGAACTGGGGATTTGCAAGCCAACATTGATTCCAAAACATCAAAACCAACGCGTGTGAAGCCAGCTGTGATGAATCATGGACTTTACGGATGGCTTGTTTGGTTTGATCCATGGAGTTGGCAGTGGGTGTGGACTTTTGGCATGATGGTTTATGCCAAAGTCTAGTTTGTTTCTTATTTAACTGTTAATAAATAACGTGGCTAAATTAGGCCACCTAATATGTTATAGAGAAAATATTATACAATAGAATCAAGCGGCATTGCTGAGAAGAAGCCACAATGTTGTTTTCAAAATGTCAAGCAATGTTGTTTTCAAAATGTCAATGCTGTAAAAAAAAAAATTCGGCGGTTGAGGAAGGGCCGCCAGGTCTGCTACAAACAGCCATGAATTAAAATAAAATTAAATAAAAATCGGCTATTGAGGCAAGGACCGCCAGGTCTGCTACATGGAATAAATAAATAAAAAATGAAAAAGGGTCTCTCAGGGCTGCCGCACAGCCCAGTGGAGAAGAAGAGAAAAAAAAATTTCCAACCCTGCGTCTGTTCCCAGCAGCCCTAATAAAAAAAAAAAATCCAGCTCTGCGACTGTTCCCAGCAGCCCTGATATATAAAAAATATATATATATATATTATTGTTATTAATTAATGCTGCCAGCGCTGGTAAAAAAAAAAGAAATAGAAGTTTGGCCGCGTGGCCGCGTTGTTGCAATTAGCCGCAATACTGTGGCCAAAATCATTTCGCCATGCATGAGGATTATATAATTGGTAATTAAAGACTTCATTGCTAACTTTGGCCTGCGTGTTTATTTCGTTTAAACATTTTGAGCCAAGTATTTTAGGTGTTATACTATTTGGTCAACAATTTGGTTCATAATTCTTATAAACCAAATTGTGGGGGGCATTTGTTGACACCTAAAATTAATTCGACCAGAATTAAATGCCGCATTAATTAGTCTCGGCATTTAAGTCGATACCGCGCGTAAAAAACGGCATTGTTGGGAGTCGGCGTCGCGGAGAACTAAAACGGTACCGCAAGGAAGCTCAGCGGTGCCGCGGTACTGCAAACGACACCGCTTACCGAAAAACAAGAGGGCCGCGCGTGGGTATTGGAGAAGGAGTTTTCTCTAATTAATTATTATTTTTATTCCTTGTTGGATTGGAAGAAGCGGCACCGAGGGGAGTTAAAACGCTGTCGCAGAGAGCTAAAACGATGCCGCGGAATTAAAAACAGTACCGCGAGGAAGCCCAACGGTACCGCTGTATTAGCAAACGACAGTGTTTAATACTCCCACGTGTCTCAACCGTCTTGATCTCCTCCTCGCTCGGGTTGGTGTGAATCTCACGCGATGTCGTTTTCTTTCCCAAACAGCTCTGTTTGCTTTTTACTCCACGACAGTGTTTTATATAAAACAATGTCGTGGAGTAAAAAGCAAACAGAGCTGTTTGGGAAAGAAAACGACATCGCGTGAGATTCACACCAACCCGAGCGAGGAGGAGATCAAGACGGTTGAGACACGTGGGAGTTCACAACAGAGCGGTTGAGGAAGCAGTTCCACAGGGCGTGAAGACTACGCAAGTGATTTCAAATAAAAGCAGCGGAGCAAGGAGAGAGAAGGGACAACCAAATCAACACAGAAACACCTCTGTTAAAACTTTACCTTTTCTCTGTAACTCCTTCGCGGAGCTCTCCTTCCAGGAAGGATCTCCATAGTTGTAGTCGTAGTCGTAGTCGCGGAGCTCTCCACAGGAATCTCCATAGGAGTAGCGGTAGCGTAGATTCCTCAAAACTCAAACACCCTCGTTCGAACGTAGTTTGGAGAGGTGCGAACCGTAGTAACGGTCGCGTTGGTTAGTAGTCAGAGGTGCATCGATCAAATCAACACCGCCCGGCGGTGGATATTTGACGGTCACGTTGATTTCACCATTTAGAGGTGCATCGATCAAATCAACGGCGCCGACATTCGGCGACGGATATTTGACGGTCGTCTCGATTTCAGCAATCAGCGGTGCTTCCGATCAAACGGCACCGCAAGAGTTTCCACCGCGAAACATCAAATCAACATCGCCGGAAACGAATTCAGCACCGGCGGTGGCATTTGGTTTTCCCGGGGAAACATTGGTTGCGGCTAATTTCGATCTGCCTTCAAAAAACTTTTCTTTGGTTTTCACTAAAAATCGTCAAATCTCTATCTGGATCCTGAACAAATGGTCGATTTTGTCGAAGAAGAGGGTATTTACTATGATGATTATCAAGCGGTACGTACTCATTTTACCTAATTTTTGTTGTTGTAATGATTTTATTTAATTTATATACTAATTGATTTATGTTGTTGTTATGATATCGTAGGTTGGGGCGGATGTTGATATATACAATCAACGATATTATGTTGATCAATGACCGATTGACTGTTTTACACGACCAAGATAATCATCGTTCAGGGGATGTTTGGAACGACCACAAGGTACATATTATTTATCATCACTTGTAATTTTTATTTTGTTAACGTAATTTATTTGTTTGTAAAATAAATTACTTAATTGTTAATCGTATTGATTATTTTCAATAATTTAAATCAATACAATACAACACTTATTTAGACTCTTTATAAAGAAATGCATGTCTAAGGAAATGGGGTCTTAAGCCAGTGGTGGACCCAGGATTCTCGTAAAGGTGTGTCAGTCAATAAAATTAAATAATAAATAAATTTTAATTATATTTATTGTGAAACACAACGAAAAGTGGAATCGAAAGAAAAGTGGGATCGAAAGAGGTAAAGGGAACACTATGTTTTTAATGAGATAGACAATAACAAAGAATGGTAGTCCATTTGCAACCAGACTCTCGATGAAAGAACATTTTTTGTCACTAGGTGAACAACTATGTGAAAGCTACAAGGACAAAAAATAAACGAAACTTATTCAGGTAGAGAGAAAAAGGAGAAAACTTCCTTACAACTACCTCTGCCTAAGACCTAAGAGCAATAAATCATTGCATCTAAATGCTTAAGCAATAAATCATCAAGTATATTGAAGGTGTGTCGATTACAATTATTCAAGGTGTTTCAGAAGTCCTAAATTCCAAAAAATTATACCGACAAAACACGGGTCTCTCACGAAATATTTGGGCGGAGTTGTGTCGCTTGACACACCTCCCTGACACATGGGTCTGCCCCTGTCTTAAGCGATCATCATGATCCTCCCATTTCCTGGGAAAATCGGGTTCTAAGCGATCCTCGGATCCCCCTTTTTTCTGTCAAACAGGTTGTGTTACTAAGTAGATGTATACCTCTTCTAAGAGTCTTACGAGTGTACTTGTATTGCTTTAAATTATTGAAAACAATCAATACGAAGTAGAAAATAATATATTTGATTTTATGTGTATGTGTACAAAAATAATTCTACTTAAATTTCGAAAATGGTATTCATTTTAGTTAATTATTTTAGTTAATGTTTATTAAATTATGTATATTTCTTGGAACCAACATTGATTTCATTAATTGATATTGTTTGTTATAAAAGATTTAAATATGTATAAATCATAAACTTATAGTGAAAGTTAAATTCTTCCCTAGGATGCATACCATATAGTCCGTTATAGGGGTACGACGAATGTGCTTGAATAGAACGACGTCATCTTGCCCTTTCTAGAAGGGCAAGATTGGATCCCATTAGGCACTTTAATGGAATAAAGATCGACCGCCAACTCATCACGGCATTGGTAGAGATGGTGAAAGGAGACACATTGCTTCAATTTTTGTGAAGGCGAGTGCACCATCACACTTAAGGACATCGCCATCCTAACCGATTTGCCCATCGATGGCGATGTTATTTGTGTGGGAGCTCCACCAGCTAATGGTAGTTGTGATAACTACCGTCGCCTTGGTAGAATTTGTAATCGGGTTGGTACTGGTAGCCTTCTTGTTGGTTCCCATCCGCCTTTTGAGCTTCTTCTTCATATGTTGGGAAGGATTGATGATGACCTCCAGTTTCATTATGATACTCCTGGCACCAGCTCGGGTCTTGGTACTCCTGGTGGGGATGATCTTAGTATAATCCACCCTCATCGTGGATACCAGATGTTTGGCCATCTCGAGAATGACCTACACCGCATTCGACCGCCTCGGTATAAACTAACATCTCCGCTTGTTTAATGTTATTGGTGTTCAAAAATTGAACCAAGGCATCAACGTCCTCCATAGTGGTAATGAGGAAATCCTCATTCCACAATGACCCGTCATGTCTGTTTGGATATCGATACATCATACGATAAACTCTTCTAGTGCCATCCATGCAGGTAACCTCAGTGCACATTTGATGGAGCTATTCAAGAATCGGTCTCGTAGCGACCTCCATTTTATAAAATTTCCACCCACGTAACGTACACCCTTTCCGGTCTCGTCCGTGTAACCATTCCACCGTAAACCAAGCGTGAACTTTTGGAATGCCATCTGCAATAAAACCGTAATTAAGTTACTACCATAAAAATCATAAATGACAATGAAAAGTAATACAAAACAAAATTATTAGTGATAACGTAAAAATGGCTAATATTTTGATGCATTACGAAAGATTTGGATAATTAATAGAATTTTAATAGGTTTTGATAATATAAAAGAATCTGAAAAAAGTTTGGATAAAAAATAGACATTACTCATATAATTAATACAATATGAAAACTATAATGACTATTTCATATTTCCGGGCAAAATCGAACTATAGAATGATCGGATCATTAACTCTCAACCCACTTACTCAATCGGGCTAAACTAGGATTAGTCAATTTCTTTATCTAAAGGTTAATTACTTTCTACTTGGTCAATGATCATAAAAGCCTACATAACAGGAGAAAGCATTAAGGATGCACCAAGAAAAATGCTTCCTAGTCTCCATCAATGTGTGTGACCCATGAAAAATAACCCCTAGCACAAATTTTTTTTTTTTTACAAAAGATAATCATATATTGAATCACAAGAAGATAGTTACATCCTGGATCGAAGCCAGGCCTGAAAATCAAACAAACGACAAGTAGTCGGAAACAAAGTAATGGCCTTTCTAGCCACCGAATGGGCTACCCTATTGCTATCCCGACCTACAAACTGAATACTAAAACCCATCGAACTCCTCAAACAATGCACATTTTCTTCCAGAACCACCCCAATCCTGCTGTTCCTGGTCACGCTTTGTTTAACTTTGTCAATAATAATCTTGGCGTCACCTTCAAACAAAATATTCTGGAGACCAAGGCGTACACACCATAAAAGAGCTTCTCTGAGAGCAAGAGCCTCTGCTACCAAAGGATCATCAATCGAAGGGAATTGGCATCCATGAGCCAGAAGCAACCCGTGGTGTGCATCAAGCAAAACCATTCCAGCAGTCGAGTGAGACCCCGCCCGCGTAGCCCCATCCCATTTACAAACCACCAAAGGACTCGACGCCGGAGGATTCGTTATGGGATCAACTTGGGTCCTAACCTGCGCCATCCTGGTACCCATCGCATTCTCCCATTCCTCACACTGATGATGATACTGGCGCATCAAAGCGGGAAACAAAACTGCTTGCCTTCAAAGACAACCCAGTCCCGAGACTTCCAAATCCGCCAGAGAATGGCAACCACCGACATAAAAACTGAGGGCTGATGAATAATGTTTAACAGTCTCCTGAGGAATAGGGGAAAAGTATGGCGGGGTAATCCTTGCCCCATATGCTCCAGCCCCGAGTAGTCCCACAGGGCCCAGCCACCGCACAATCAAAGAAAAAATGCTCCATTGTTTCCGAATCCCCCCAACAGACCGGACAACGAGGGAGAACAGGGGCCCGTTTTTCAATAAGGCCTTCCGTGGTCGGGAGGATACGATGAAAGATCTGCCAGACAAACACCTTCAACTTGGGAGGGATGTTAGCCTCCCAAAGTCGAATCCAGCTAGCTCTATCCATCCAACTGGCCGACGACCGCCAAAGGCCACTTCTTTTATCTAGATCAACAGCTAGATGATAGGCGGATTTAACAGTAAACGTCTCGTCCGCCATACCATGCCAAATTAGTTTGTCCTCCACAGAGTGCCTTGGCAAAGGAATAGCCTTGATTCGTCGGCAAGTTGGGGGATCAAACCATTGGCTCAGCTTAGCATCAGACCAACCACCCCCATTTGGCTCCATAACCTCCTCTACTCGAGGGTCACCCCCCTCTGGAAGGACCAGTGGATTAGCCACTAGTATGTCAGGGTGCAGTAGGGGAATCCAATTCGACCCAAGAAGCGACGCTTTTATCCCGTCCCCAATCTGCCATCGAAGTCCTTTCTCGAGCAAATCTCTCCCAAACAGCACACTTTGCCAGCCCCATGAAGGTCTAGATCGTGCAGTGGCTTGAAGAAAGCTCCCAGTCGGAAAGTACTTACCCTTATATACTTGCGCCAGCAGGGAGGTGGGTTCATTGAGGATGCGCCATCCGATTTTAGCCAATAAGGCCTGGTTAAACTGTTCAAAGCAGCGGAAACCCATCCCCCATCATGTTTACTACGACACATATTCCGCCAGGAGACCCAGCTGATTCGTGACTGATCATTCGTCCCACCCCACCAAAACCTGGAGACATGTTTATCAAGCAATCTACAAGGGGACAAAGGCAGCTTGAAGCAAGACATTACATGGAGGGGCAAAGCCAAGGCAATGGATTTAATAAGAGTTTCCTTCGCAACCCAAGATAATGTACGTTGCTTCCATCCTTGTAATTTTTCGAGCAATTTCTCCTCCAGGTAGCGAAAGGTCGCCATTTTTGAGCGGGCAATTAGAGTTGGGAGCCCCAGGTATTTATCATGAACCCACACAGCTCCTACCCCCATAACTGCCGCCAAAAAAACCCGGTCCTCGTGGTCTATATTCTTGCTAAAACAAACAGCCGATTTCTCCAAGTTCACACGTTGGCCACTCAATTCCTCATATTCTTACAAAACTTCGAGCAGATTTTCACACTCCTGGAGATTACCCCACAGGAATAGGTAAGAATCATCCGCAAAGAATAGATGAGTAATACGAGGAGCACGGGGGGCAACCCTCACCCCTAGCACAAATTAGAAAACCTCTTGTGCAACAATAAACGGGTTATGGCTTTAATTATATTTATTATATATGCCTATTAGAGCATCTCCATTGGAATTGCATTTAGAATTGCATTATGACATGACATTTATTTGCAATTGCATTTATGTAGATGACAATTGCATCTTTGCAAGCTTGCATATAATGCAATTATGAGATGTAAGCCATGTCATTTTTTATTATTAAATTATTCATTAATTTTTTTATTTGAGTGTTTATGTTTTATTAAACTAAATTAAAAATAATAATTGTAATGAAAGTAATATGAGTTGGATTGCAAAAAAATTGAGATAACAATAAAAAGCAAAAATGCAATTGCATGTGCAATTGCATTGATGTAGATCCTCTTAGAATATACGTTGCAAAGCTGGAGGCGGAGGTTCAATTTCAATATATGGCCTCCACCGCCGAAACCAGGGTCTCTTTGCCTGAAGAAGAGCAATTCCGTAATTAAATGCATATGAACGGAAGGTACGGGTACCCGTAATACTCAAACGAGTATTAACGGGTAACTCATGGGTACACATTGTAGAACTTTTTCATCTCAAATTCCATCCCGTAAAAAAAGTGCGTGTATTTGGGTACCCATAACCCTAAAAAATGGACGAGTATGGGTATACCCAAATATCCGTTTCTCGTTGTCCACCACTATTGGTATCTTTTTGGCCATTGGCTAGAAGCCTACAGCCTCAATGGTAACGGGACAATGTCACAATGATGAGATTGTCATTTTCCCATTGGCACTTGGCAGGGTCTTAATGTTAAGGCCTCATTTCCATGGCTCTTGGCTGCCATGGGTTGGATTTAGTTTAGAATAAATACGCATATTAAAAGACTAACTAATCCATTCAATTTTTTTTAACTTTGGCCCATGCATCCTTCTCTGACCCATATAAATGAATTAAATAATGAGGTCTCGTGTTGTAGGTCTCATCAGAATAGGGTCTGGGCGAGCAAGGCTTGGATCAAGTGCTAATTGTTACAACAATCTTATGTAACGCTTCACATTTACTTATTACGTAAGAAATAATGATTGTCTTGTAATATTTACATAATTGAAATATAACATTATGTCATAGATGATTAAAAAAGAATTTAATACAAACTAGCTTTGAACTTGGTCGATTTTTTGGGAGACCGAATATTTTTCCTATTAAAAAAACTTGGTTTTATTGACAATGACACCAATTTTTACATATAATAAATGTTTTAAATTATATTTATGGTGATATAAAACTTAATGGTATTGATATAATTTAATAAATTCATGGGATAAGAACATGTACATGAGTTATGGTGGTACATGAGGCAGTCGTATATGGTTTTATAGATCGGAATGATATTAATATAGTTTAATAACTCTATCAAATGGAAAAGTGACTTTCAAATACCTGATCATAACCTTTTTATGGTTTTTTATTTTTAAATATATCAAAATAAATATTTTATGTGTATATCACATTAATTATATTTTTTTCAAAATTATCAAAAATTTGGGTTTAAAGCGAAAGAAATATATGTTGATTAAAATAATAAGGTAAATTACGTCCAATTAACTCGATTCTGGAGATAAATCGGATACTAAATAGTGTTTTACTCCGAAAATTCAGGAGTGCGACGGAAAACTTCTAAGGCGATCGTACTAGGGTTTCACGGGCCATGCCGGCGGTCACTGCACCGCTGGCCGAGGGAGGGGTGGCTGATAGCCCCATAATGCCAGAAGCTGTATCTGGCCACCGACGTCCGCCACCTGAGTCATCTTCGCCAAACCCTAAGGCTGAAAGGGAAGCGCAGCAGACGAAGAAGCGAGCAAAGCAAGTTGTTCCGCCTATGGAGGGAGAGGGCGATATTAACCTGGTCGGAGCGGGACAGGCAAGCCAGCGTAGCACTCAGACTCCGAGTCCCCGACCGTCAGTCTGGGGATCGGGTTCGAGGGCAGCGAGGAAGCTTTTCGGTGATTCTCCACGTCTGAGTACATGGTATATTGCGGACTCTGATTCTGAAGACGTTGCGGAAGCCATGAGACAAGAAGGCAGTGATGTTGGTTTCGAGGGGGATGATGATCCTAAATGCCTGTCGATCTATTTCACGTTGGCTGAGGAAAGGATGTTTAGCCACGAAGGGCGCTCGGCTCTTGTAGTCAAAGCGCTAGGGATGTCTGTTTCTTACACCCTCATGGCTAAACGGTTGACGAGCTTATGGGCTCGGGTGAGTACAATCCAAGTGACGTCCTTAAGAATGGATACTTCCTGGTTAGATTCAGTAGCGGGATCGATTATGAGCGGGCAGTGACGGGTGTCCCTTGGATGGTGGGTGATAATTATCTGACTGTTCATCCGTGGACAAAAGATTTTAACCCGTATGAACACGAGATCTCTTCTACCCTGGTCTGGGCGAGACTTTTAGAGATCCCCATACACTACTTTCACCCTGTGGCTGTGAAGAAGATCGGGCAGCGTATTGGGAAGCCTATTCGAGTGGACCAAGCAACAAGTACGGGGGCCCGGATCGACTATGCTCGGGTATGTGTTAAGGTTGATCTCACTAAGCCACTACTCTCGAAATTCTCGTTGCATGGGAAGAAATATTTCATCCAATACAAAGGCTTAGAAAATATCTATTTAAAGTGTGGGACGTACGTTACACGAGGATGCTGCTCATGCATGGAAAAATCGATGGAGGTGGAGGCTACCACCAATGTGAATAATGTTGATATACCGTCGGAGGAGCCGGATGCCCTTTACGGGGAATGGATGATAGCGCAGAGGCGGTCTCGACCGAGAAAGGAGAACGTGGGCCGAGATATAGCGACGGGGAAGTCTAAGATGGGCAATGGTAAGGGTTTAAAGGATGGGCCAGGTGGTTCCAGATTCACTATCCTTGTTGCTGATGAGATGGAGGAAGATACTGTGACAGGCAGAACACAAGGAGAGGGTAGAGTAGAGAATCAATCCGCGAGCGTTGGGAAAGAGAAGGTATCAACGGGGAAACATGTGGAAGTGAGAAGGGGGAAACTAAAACAACAGGGAGTAGCTCTGAGAAGGCTGGCAAGGAACCTGGGAAGAAGACGAAGGTCGACACTAATAAGCAAGTGCAACGAACTAAAGATACCGTGTTACTAGCCCATCCGTCAGAGGAGGACCTCAATGTACCTACCACAAGCATCCCCATGAAAGTACAGCCACCGCTGCCAGCGTCGACACAGCCGAGGACAGCAAAATATGGGGTCCAACCCATGGAACCTAATGCCATGCAAGGACACCATGTCCGGCCGCCTGATAACCAAAGCCATCAAATGGAGAGCTCGGGAAATCTACCCTTAGAAGAGATGAATGAGATTATTGCGGAGGGCCTCGTGAATGAGGCCTCCACAACGTGAACTTCTCCTGGTGTTCTAAAACCTGCTTTTCCATTGTTAAATGATGAACATATTTATGTGGAATTGTAGGGGTGCGGGGAGCAAACGTTTCCTTAGAGTGTTTAAAGAGTATAAATGACTATACCGTCCGAGTATTGCGATAATTGTTGAGCCACGGATCAGTGACAATAAAGCGTTGCAAGTGGTGGGGAGTATGGGATTTGATAAATTTCTCATTGTGGATGCAGTAGGGTTTTCGGGAGGTATATGGCTGGCTTGGGACTCGGGAGTGGCCTCTTATTCGGAAGTAAACAGGTCGAGCCAGATGCTCCATGTGCAAGTGATGACGGGGGAAGGTAATTGGTACCTCTCGGCTATATATGCAAATCCGGCTTTGGTCCAGCGTCGCAAGCTTTGGCACTTGATTAGGGAGCTGGCGGAGTCGGTAGCTGATCCTTGGCTACTTGTAGGAGACTTTAACTCCATTCTACATCAGTCGGATAAGTCAGGTGGGGCAAACTTTGATGCTAGTCGGGCGAGGGAATTCCAAGATTGCGTGTTGGATGCGGGATTGATAGATCTTGAGTTCTATGGTCCGCCCTTTACCTGGTTCAGGAGGGGTGTGAAAGAACGTTTGGACCGAGGGCTGGCTAATTCTGCTTGGAGGGATAAGTTCCCAGAGGCTACAGTGAGACATTTGCCGAGGATGAAGAGCGACCACAGGCCTATTCTTGTTAATTTGCAGCCGACCTTCCAGCCTGGTGGTCCGAAGCCCTTCAAATTCTTGGCAGCTTGGCTAGTCCATGAGGGTTTTAATGATATGGCTAGTCAGGCTTGGGCGAAAGGGGCTGACTTTCTTCGTCGGTGGCTGAATTTGTTGAAGAGGCAAAGAAGTGGAATGCTGATACATTTGGTAATATATTCAAGAGGAAGAATGAGTTGCTTACTAGGATTGAGCGTCTGGAGGCTCGGTTTGGCGGTGATGCGGAGCATGAGCCCCTGCGACTAGCGAGACAGGAACTTGAGGAGGTGCTTCTACAAGAAGAACTTTTGTGGTGTCAGAAGGCCCGATTGGAATGGGTAGTCTCAGGAGACAGGAACACGAGGTTTTTCCACTCTAGAACTATGAATCGGCGTAGGATGAACAGGATAACGGCGCTAAAAAACGGCGCGGGGGAGTGGGTTGATGATCAAGATCAACTCCTCGTCCTAGCAAGGGATTTCTTCTCGGGGCTGTACACTGATGATGGTGCTCCAGTCCGTTTCCTGCTGCGAGCTTTTCAGGAGGTGCCGCCTAGCCTCTGGAGCCCGCTCGACAAGGAATTCACGCCAGAGGAGATTCATCAAGCTGTTAAACTTATGGGCGCTCTGAAGGCACCGGGGAAGGATGGTTTGAATCCCCTCTTTTATCAACGTTGCTGGGATTTTGTTGGATCCGCAGTGGTGGAGTTTGTGAAGTCCTGCTGGCAGGTCCCGTCGCGTGTTAAAGAAGTGAATGATACCATTGTGGCACTTATTCCTAAAGTCCAATGCCCCTCCTTGATTGAGCAATTCAGACCGATAAGCCTCTGCAATGTGGCTTATAAATTGATAACGAAGTGTTTAGCTGAGCGGCTAAAGCCTCTTATGCCGAGATTGGTGCATGCCACGCAGACAAGCTTTGTCTCGGGCAGGCACATCACTGATAATATTTGTATTTTGCAGGAAGTAGTACACTCGATGCAGGCTAAGCAAGGTAACGAGGGTTGGATGGTTCTTAAAATCGACTTGGCTAAAGCTTATGACAGAGTTAAGTGGAGTTTTGTGCGAGATACGCTAGAAGCCGTGGGGGCCCCAGCAAAGTTCGCGGACCTGACTATGAGCTGCATTTCATCGGCCAGGATGCAAATTCAGTGGAATGGTGGCCTTACTGAAGCTTTCTCACCTTCGCGTGGGCTACGGCAGGGATGCCCGTTGTCCCCCTATATTTTCACGCTTTGCATGGAAAGGTTGGGGCACCTGATTGATGCTGCCGTTGGTGCAGGAGAGTGGAAGCCTGTCTGCTTGTCCAAGCATGGGCCGAATTTGTCACATTTATTCTTTGCTGACGATCTTATTCTGTTCAGTGTAGCTTCGATGCAACAGGTTCAAGTGATTTTGCGATGCTTAGAGGAGTTTGGAGTGGCCTCCGGATAGTCGGTAAGCAAACCAAAATCGAGGGTGTTTTTCTCAAAGAATGTCTCAGGCGCGGTAGGCACATCGCTCAGCAATGCCCTTGATATACCAGTGACCAGTAACCTAGGTCGCTATTTGGGCGTACCAGTGATTCATGGCAGAGTGTCTAAGGCCACGTACACCGGTCTCGTCGACCGAATTGATGCCAGGCTTGGAGGTAGAAGGTGAACTCGCTGTCGTTGGCAGGTCGGATTACTTTGGCTCAGTCAGTCCTCTTATCTCTTCCAGCTTACACGATGCAGACTGCTCTTCTACCGGCATCGGTCAGGGAATACATAGATAAGAAGATTAGATGTTTCATTTGGGGGAGCTCGGAGCAGGGGAGGAAAGTTCATCTAGTGGACTGGGATTCGTTATGTAAACCCAAAGACGAGGGGGCCTGGGACTGAGAACTACGACAAAGATGAACGAGGCGTTTATGCTAAAAATTGCTTGGAGACTGTTCACTGAGCCGGAGAACCTCTGGGCACAGGTGGTTCGGGGGAAGTATCTAAAGGAGGTCGATGGATCGTGGCAACCCAGGAGAAATGGACGACTGTCTAATCTATGGAAGGGAGTGCTGAGAGTGCTGGATTACTTGCCGGAAGGTATGATGTGGAATGTGAGAAGTGGCATGCAGACTCGGTTCTGGCAGGACAGATGGCTCCAAGATGGGCCGCCGTTAGAGGATTTTGCGATTAATCTTCCGGCTGCAGTGAGGGAGCTACGGGTAGCAGAACTCATCCTGAATGGGGATTGGAATTGGCCTGTCATTCAAGCCTTCCTCCCGGAGGCCTTGGTTCTTCAGCTACGGTTACAACCGGTGCCGCAAGGAGTAGGAAAGGATGTACCTGTTTGGCGGTTTTCGGATTCGGGGAAGTTCACAGTCCGGTCAGCCTATGACCTACTCAGAGACGGCGAGGAGGAGCAAGTTCACCAACCTGCCATTTGGAAACTTCAAGCTCCCCAACGCACACGTACCTTTTTATGGTTAGTGTTGCATGGAAAGCTCCTTACCAATGGGGAGCGCTGCAGGCGCCACCTGGCTACGTCAGACATCTGTCCGGTTTGTGGGGGAGGCCCGGGAACGGTGATTCACGCAATTCGGGACTGTTCCTTTGCTCGAGCGGTCTGGTCGGAGCTGTTGGAAGGCGAGTCTGATCCAGTGTTCTTCCAGGAGGACTTAGCGAAGTGGATTCTGCACTATATATCGGGTAAAAGTTTGATCATTTCCCCGATGCTTTTCACTATCATTTGTTGGCAACTTTGGAAGAGTAGGAACGTGTGTGTGTTTGAGGAAAAGATTACACGGCCGGAGCAGCTGGTGAGGGGGCCAGGCTATTTAGTGAGCAGTGTAATGAGGGTTTTGAGAAGGGGAACATTGCGGTGGAAGGTGGTAGGCATGTGGAGCAGTGGTTGATCAGCTGGCAGCGCCCCCCTGCAGGCTGGGTTTGCCTAAATACTGACGGATCGGTCATTTTGGCACAAGGGAGATCGGCGGCTGGCGGTGTTCTCCAGGACAGCGAAGGGCATTTTCTGGTGGGATACTCGGTCAACTTAGGGGGTGGTTCTATTACAAGTGCTGAATTGGCAGGGGTAGCACAAGGGCTGCAGCTTGCTTGGGATCGTGGATGTCGGAAGGTAGCACTGCAGACGGACTCGTTGACAGCCATCTCACTCATCCAATCTGCAGAGGCTGCCCATCCTCACTATACTTTGGTTGCATTTATCCGCCGACTTTTGGAGCGTGAGTGGGAAGTTTCCTTGAGTCATGTGTTCCGGGAAGCTAATTTTCTGGCAGATCATTTAGCGTCGATGGGTCACTCTTTGTCGGTGGGAGTCCACGTGGTGGATTATCCTGGTGTTGCGTTGCGATACTGGTTGTATTTTGATACCATTGGGGTTCAAACCCCGCGTTCCATAGCTATTTAAGGGTTTGAGCGCCCCTTTGTGCTCTGTTTTCTACCAAAAAATAATAATAAGGTAAATTGGAAAAGAAAAGAGTGAGTATGTTAGGTGGAATGTTCTAAACGACTTATTGAAAAAAAAAACTAAGTAAAAATAATTAATTAGTTGTAAAAGGTGGTGATATTGACGTATAAGAAGTGAGAAAATTTAAAACGATTAAGTGTAAATAGGAAAAAAATTGGGTTTTTTTATAGATACTTGTAAGTTTTTTCAAAAACTTGACCAGGAAAATTGAAAAATGCTTTGCCAAACTGATCTTTTGTGGAAAACCCACAAGCCAATGGAGAGAACTAAATGGGAAAATTCTTCTCTCTTTTTTTTCAAGTCCAAATTTATGCCGAAATAATTCATCATAAGTATACCGACGAGACAAGTGGTGGCGATTTGAACAATCGCTCAATGGAATACGACTTTTTTTTTTTTTCTTCCAAAAATTGACGTTAGGAATTTTGATGTTCTAAATTCTAATACGTCAAGGGAGGAGATATAAGAGAGCTACATTTGGCACTAATTACCTTAACGAAGGTGGGAATGTTTTGGGCTCTTAGTCAAGATAAATTTGCCGGCAAGTTCCGGCTTCGGCAAATATTAGCAATTATAAACAACATGCTATTTAACTACGTCAAAGTTGTTCTCATTGTTTCACTATCAACACAATGACCCATTTGTTTGCGGATCACTATATGCCAACTCATCTGAATTCCTAAAGTAGTTAATCACTGAGATAAAGATTTACAAGCTCCAAGTAATAACAAGTCGTAATGTGCCAACGTAACTTCATACATAAATACAATACTAGGTGGAGATGCCGCGTCTTTGTCGCGGAGCGGAGATGGCCTATGAGCATTTTTTATGTGGCA